ATAGATAAAAATACTGTAGTAGAATTACTGCAGCAAATTGACATACTTAATATATGCGTTTAAAAAATTTTTTAAATATAGAATTTTATTTAAAGTAATAAAAAATAAAATAAATAAAGAAATATTTCTGAAATATATATGTATGGAATGTTTGTTCAATATATACATAAATTTCCATCAATTATTCGATTATTTGACCTTCAATTCAATTCAAATTCAATTTGATCTTATACAATTCTGATTCTTGTCTCTACTCACAAAGTTACTTGGCAATCCTTGATCTAACATATTTCACTTAACATATTTCACTTAATATATTTCAAATGTAGGTATTTTAAATCCTTCGTAACTCACTGTATATATGCACCTTTCTCTGTATCACACTGTGAAAGACTCTAGTAATGCAACACTACTTGAACCTAGATTGCTTTGCAGCAATCGCTTCCAGACTCAGTTCTTTCTTTTCTTCCCTTTCTTTCGCGGTTATTATTAGTCATACACAGCTAATAGGTTGTTGAACCAATGACACTGCTTCAATCTTACTAATTGATATGCTGACACGACAAATATTGTAAGCGCAACATTAAACAGCTGATTCTGAGATCTACATAGATCTCGGTCTATACGATTAAATCGATCCGCAGATGCACGCGCATTTCTTTCGTTATATCGAATTCCCATCTTGAAAATAATTTTTTCATGGTTCTGGTAAGATTTGCATTAAATTGCTAGAATTATTTAAGATGCAAAGTTGCACAACTTGATATTATGCTGCGTGCACATAGTCAATTTAGTATCTCTTTAAAATAGTATATATTTTGTATAAAGCTTAAATCATAATTACTACTAAAATCATAATTACTATTAAAAATTAGATTGGATCGGTTGTAAAAATTATTTAATATTTTCTGAAAAATCAGTAAAAAGGTAAAGTAAAATATATTTGTATATAATATCACTGTCATTGATGCGGCATATTGGGGATTCATACTGGGCATTGATCATGTAATTTTTCCCTAGGAGCGGAAACGTGACAGTGAAAATTTCATGTGAATTCGACGAATAGAATTATCGAATTCACAGAGAAGTTTTCATTTTTCGCTCATACATACATCATATCTTATCATTAACTACATCACTTATGCCCATTTCTACCAATGTAGATTAACTTTAATATCGGTTCAACTTATAGCGTTTTCGAATAAACGGGATTTGAACGATCTAGGGTTGATCAATCACTATTTTACTATAAATGCAAGTCTTTCATTGGTGGAGAGGTTGCAATGACGTCATTAACCAATCTTGGGTCGTTCAAATCCTGTATAATCGAAAACGCTATTATTCTTCATCTTTTTCTAGTTCTAAGAATTAGAAAAAGGTGAAGAGTAAGTTGAACCGAGATTAAAGTTAATCTACGTTGGTGGAATTGGACATTAGTTATTTTTAATATTTTTTCTGTTCTCACCGCGCATGCGCGAAAAAGCGGCGACATTTGACAATACCGACTTGCTCTCCTCACCCCACCTTCCGAAAGCTTGTAGCAGAATAACATCGTCAGCGGTCAGCCATTATAGGTGAAGGAGATACGAAAGATTTCGACGCAATATAATCGTCAGAGATACACGTTTGATTATCTATTCGAATTGCATACATTATCAAGATGCACACGATATCTGAGTATAGTGTACCGGCGTTTCTTGCCAAGCTTTGGAAACTTGTCGAAGATCCCGAAACTGACGACCTTATTTGCTGGTCACCCGTGAGTATCTTTATTTACCTGTTTTTACGAGGGTCAGCTATCCGGCTATTACACGCTGTCGAATAAATTCCTACGTGTTTTGCGGATCCGACGATGCGATGTCGCGTATTGCACTAAGCGTTTTACACTTTTACTTGTTAGCATCGATACACGTTGAATTTCAAATGCGATGATAAGCACTAATGAAATGTTGACCTCCAATTATGCACATTTTTTCTGCAGTATAGTATTTTACATTGCGTGCATAAATTACATGCAGTTATTGTTAATTCTATCTTGTCAATCATCATTCGATTGCTTCAATAACATAATTTCTTTCGCACGAAGTAACATGTTAATTTGTACAACACTTATTCCTGGGATAATTATTAATGCTCTGTAACATATAATTAAATCAAAGATTAATGAAATAAATTAAAGAGAATATTATTGGCTTGTTGAATTGTATGTTTATTGTTGAAAAAAAAACTTGTTATTTCATATTTAATTCGATTGATTTAATCAATTTTTTATATAATTTGATGAAATCGAGCACATGGTATAGATGCGAATCCATGTTGAGTTCTTTGCATGAGATTTTTATTTCATGAGACAAAAATATTAAGATTAATGAAATATTTATATAAAATATTACACGATATTTCGTTCATGATATATACCATATTCATAAGATTGTTTCTATCATCAATAAGTCACCATTGCAACGTGGCACGTGTGAAAAATTTATTTCATCTACAACACATGAGTTGTGTTCAATTATTAAATAAATTTTGATAAAAATGCTTTGGACAAACAATTCAAACAAAATTCAATTTTAAATAATGAACGTTTTCGAATTTATTTTAATTTTTTTGCAAATTTTATTAATTTAATTGTTATGGTCTAAAACACTATTTTGGCACGCAATAAACTTTTATTTAACGAATAACTCGGGCATGTAAAATGGATTGTGCACTGCATCTTGCTGATTTATCATACAAAATAAAATTTTTATATATAATTTTTTGGTTTACTATAAAATATAAGAATATTGTGTTAACATTATACGTATATAGATTTTCAGAATTAAAATATTATTTTTGATTTAATATTTGTGCTTTTTTGTCTCTAAAAGTGAAGTTATTATGCGTAATTATTACTAAATTATTAATTTCAATAGATAAAAAACTGATTTTTTTGCCATTTTATTGTAAAAAAACTGTAATAATGTTAATAAATAATGTATACTTTATTGTAGCTTATTACAGAAATACAAATATATATACTTTAATATGTATAATTTATTTAATATTTTTTTAGAGTGGGAAAAGTTTTTTTATTAGAAATCAAGCGCAATTTGCAAAAGAATTATTGCCACATTATTATAAACACAATAATATGGCTAGTTTTGTGCGGCAATTAAATATGTGTAAGTTTTTACAATTCTTATATGCAATTCTTTTTAAAAACATGGTTAAAGTCTAACAAACAGAATAAAAAATGTTTACTATTCCTTATATTTAAGATGGATTCCACAAAAAAGTATCAGTGGAACTAGGTGGCCTAAAGTGTGATAAAGATGAAATGGAATTTGCACATCTATGTTTTATTAAAGGAGCTCCAGAATTAGTGGAGCGTATTAAAAGAAAAGTGAGTATATTAAGATATATTTTAATAACATATATAATCTTTATTACTTTAGTTGCCATGAAGGGACTTGGTTTACAATTAAAATTTTCCACACTCATTCCTCCATACTTTATATCTAATATCTAATATCTAATCCTTAAATCTTATACAATTCTTATATCATATACAATCCTTTTATCTAATCCTATACATTACTCTATTGTACTATTTCTTTTTCTCCTTTCTCCATCTCGCATCCTGCCTCTTGATCTTCCCCTTTCCTATTCCTATGTCTTCGTTTTCTGTGTCTTCTGTATTCTTTATAATTTTTCTGTACTCTCTAGTAGATCCCTGAGGTGACTTCTCCTATCTTCTTTCTTTAATATATTTTAATAATATTAAAATAATATTTTTATCTCAGAGTGCTGAAAACAAAGTTTGAGATTAATTCTGAAAATTTTTTAAGATAAATATAATGCAGTTTTTTTAGATTTAATAATTTAAAAAATTTAAATATTTGTAATCTTCTCTTTAATAAAAATATTACAATATAGATTTATGTATAGAAAATAATAACAAATTTATTAAAAAGATATATACATATTTTTATAATTTTTATAATGTAATAAAATATTATAATAACCTTTTCAAATAAATAATACTATTTCTTTTGTTTTTAAATTTTTGAAGAGTAAAATTAAAAATTATGAAAAATTTTTACAATAGTTGCACAAAAGAAATGATATAAATTAATATTTTGTTGCTATAAACAATTTATTACAATTTATTACAAATATTTATTTAGATGACGTCTACCAAAATTCAAGATCCGGGACTTTCTTCTTTTAAACCTGAAGTAATGAATAAAGTGCTGGTTGAGGTAAGAAGCATGAGAAGCCGTCAAGAGCATTTTGACAGTAAAATGGTCGCAATGAAACATGAAAACGAGGCATTGTGGAGGGAATTAGCAATGCTAAGACAAAAGAACTTGAAACAACAACAAATTGTCAACAAACTTATTCATTTCCTTGTTACTCTTGTACAACCATCAAGAGGAAATGGTATAGCTGTTAAGAGACGATACCACCCATTAATGATAGATGATTTAAGTCGTCCACATAAACAAACCAAATTGTCAAAGGTAACATTATTATGACATTTCTCATGTTTATTTTTGTTTGTCTTAATTACTATAATATTAAATATTTTATTTTGCAGCCACAAACATCTCCTACAGGACCGGTAATTCATGAACTTGATTCATCAGAACCTGATTTGGAATCACAATACTTTGTTGCTGAGTAAGGAAATAGATTTTAGATGCACTGTTTTTTAACGATAATGTAGAATTTAGAGATCTTTTTATTTTACATATATAAGTAAGATTTATAATATATATAATAAAAATACATTTACATATTACATTTCATAGATATATATTTTAACCGTTTTTGTTATGCATATTACATCACATTATATATTATATTGTAAAGATATGGGTATTAATATTTATTTTTTATCTTAGGATGCTAGAAAATGAAAATCCGACTGTTCAGAGTCCACAAGAGCATATTGAATTTCCTATAGATGACGACAATATGGAAACTGTTCATTTAATTGAAGATCCTTCGCGTTTAGAAACCAGCACTAAAATGGACAGTCCACATGAGATTGATAGTAACCAAATGGACGGTTCACATGAGATTGATGCAAAGAAGAAACGTGCTAGCAAGGGCAAAAAGAAGTAAGTTGACTTACGAGGAAACCTCGCAAACCCGAAAATTTAGATTTTAATGAAACTACACACATGTAGGGGAGAGAGGGGGAAGGGGGAGGAAGGGTGGTAAATAGATGAATTTAGAAATTTTTAGTTGCTGCCCAAAAGCGATTCTAAGGGGTAAAACCACCTCTCATACGTAGAGCAGCTTTTGCTTTTCACGATATATCTAAAAAATTATTCAAGATATCAAAAAATGTTTCACCACAATAGATTGTGGTTAAATAGAGCTGTTCTTAACCATAAAACTTTTGTATGAAACATTTTTTGATATCTTGAATAATTTTCGAGATATATCGTGAAAAACAAAAGCTGCTCTATATACGAGGGATGGTTTCACTCCTTAGAATCGTTTTTGGGCAGCAACTAAAAATTTCTAAATTTATCTATTTACTCCCCTCCCTCCCTCCCTGCCCTCCCTTTCCCCTACATGTGTGTAGTTTTATTAAAATCAGAATTTTCGGGTTCGCAAGGTTCTCTTGTTAGTATTTTTTATATTGCTTAATAGAAAAACTGATCTATATAATAATAGGATATATATTCTATTAAAGCAAATGCGGTTAATTTTATTAAGGGATCCTAAGTGGTCTGTTTTACCTATTTTTTTCAA